GCACTCGAAACCAATCTCTGTGTTTTCTCGTAGGCTGCCTGAGCAGCACGGGACGCGGGGGGGTAGCTGCAGATACACTCCGGTGTGCGTAGTTGAGCCATTGCAAACCAACAGCTTGCGCAAACCCTTGAACCTTGAAACAATCTTGCTTGCACAGTTCGCTTGATTTTCTTGGAAAAGGGAGTTGTTTTGAGGGCCTTGCTTGCAAAAACGCCCTAGTTTGTTGCCAACTTTTCTTGTCGTACAGTTTTCTTGAAGAGAGGCGGCAGCTGCACGTGAGCTGCTGGTAGTTGTAGCTTAGCCTTTAGTCTGTCCTGTGACTGTCCTAGGTGGAGCCTCGCCAGGTAGTTGTAGCTCAGCCCGCAGGTCTGCAGACGAGCTTAGGCTGAGGCATCTCGCCTGCAGGTGGCTGACACAACGTGTGTCTAGTGACAGACATTGGTTGAGGCAACTCGCCAGCGCTGTGTGCCGCCAGATAGCCCTGTGAGGTTGAGCTCGCTCGCCCGCAAAGATCCTAACCGGAGTTGAGTTGGAGGTCGGCTCAGCGGCTGCCTGGATCCCCTCTCTCTCTGAAAGTTTGTGTATCCTTGTGTGTGAGTTCCCTCACGGCCTTTTGCCTTACTCTCGGGGCCCGGGCTTGTTAGCCCGTGTGCTGCGCCAGCAGGACTGAGCGCTCCAGGTTTGCATATCGCTTACACTCGGCGGCTCTTTCGTCATTTCCCCCGTCTGGGGTGTAGTTTCCCAAGCCAGCCGATGCTAGGGTGTCTTTCCTGGGGTCCTTTGGCGCGTTTTGAGTAGGCAATTTGATGCAGCCGGTCTTGTGCCCTGTTTGGTCGTGTCGTCCCCTGCTGACTGCCGGCCTCGCTTGGTTGCTAAGCAAGTTTGAGGCACTTCCCCTGCTGCTTCCTTACAGGCCTCTATCGCCAAGGCTGGGTTTGGTGTTGGAGGTCCTGTGTGTTGCTTTACCCAGCCAGGGTTTCTCACAGCCCTGCTTCTTGGAGCATTGCAGCTTGTCAGGTTTGCTGCGATAGCCCGCCGGGCCCTTTTGAGCTTTCTGGCTGCAAGGGCGACGATGGGTATCTCCATTTCAGGGTGAGATTTCTCCCCTTTTGCTTCTATTTAGGTTTAGGGACCCTTGCTAGTTGAGTTTTCCGGCCGCTTGTTGCCTTGGCCCCAGAGGCGGCAGGTAGGAGAGACTGGGGACTCATGCTTGGTTGACCCGTTTGTTCTTTGATTTTGCTCTGATAGTTTTAAGTTTTGAGTGACTTTGCTTGGGGCCTTGCGTTGCCTTTCCCGGGCAGGCCTCCTGCGTCAGCAGCCTCTGGAGGTTTTTCTCTGTTGCCAGGGACTCTCCCGCCCAGTTGCTGCAGGCTTGTCACTGGGGCTGTGCAGTGGTCAGGAGGGCTGCAGTGACTGTGAGCATCTCCGTCCTGCTGGTTGCTATACAGGCCCACCTGGGCTCGCAGTACTCAGGTTGAGGGTAAGGGTTTAGGGGTCTGGAACTGGCCTTGCAGGGTGTGGTTCCCCGCACCACCACGTAGTTGAGAATAGGGGAAAGCGTGGACCCCGCGCCACTGGCTTGCCGACAATGAGGGGTTGGCGTCGGCCCTGCGCCAAAATTCCGCGTTGAGGGGCAGCGGCCTTTTTCAGTTCCCTTCATCCTTCCTTCTCTCCCTCTGTGCATGCTGCCCAGGTCAATCCTTTGGCTTTTCGTTCACAGGCAGGGAGTTGCACCTCCCTCCAATGCTCGGGTTGTGCCTTGTTTCATGGCGAGTGTCTCCCTCCGCTTCAAGCACTCGGGTCTCGAGCTATGCCTGTGGAGGTGAGTGGTGCCCAGTGGAGTGCCGCCTCTGCTGGGCCTCTTCTCCCTTGTGGGAGCTCACCACCTTTGCTTTAGGTCCTGAAGTACAGGGAGAGGTGCCTCCCTGAGGTTACTAATTTCTACTCCTACACACAGGGTGAGGTGCCTCCCCGTGTTGTGTGGCCTTTGCATGTTAAGCAGCGATGGGTGAGGACTCTCCCCAAATCGTTCCTTTACCTAATTTAACGAGCCAATTTGGTCCTAGTCCGCTCAAGGTGAGGAAACTCCCTCTTGCTCTCTGTTACCGGTCCAACCAAAGTGAGGCGATGGAGACCAGTACCTGCCGAAGTCCCAGACTCCTTTCTTCAGACTGCAGGGTAACAGTTCACTCAAGGTGAGAAACCTCCCTTGCACCCTTTTGTTGCCGCCTAGCTCAAAGTGAGGAGACTCCTTGGAAGGTAGGCTGAGGGCAACCGCAGTAGGCAGGTGAGCTCGACCAGTCTGTGCCGAGGGTGCTGTTTAAGGACATCACCTGATGTCAGACTGGTCTTGAGTAACTCGCCGCTCCCAAAGTGGACTAGTCTCAGGGTGAGGTGACTCCCCCACTGACACTCTCCTTTCTCCCTCTCTCTCTCTTTCTCCTTCCTGTCTCACCCCTGACTCAAACCGGGCTCAGCCCAGCGCTTCGCCGCTCGAGCGTGATTTTCAATCCTATAATGGTGCCCCTGTGTCTCGCCAAAGTCAGGAACACTTTCTGTTTTCTCCTTAGTGAGTTTTAGAGAACCTTAGGTATAGCTGTGAACGGTAGGAGTAGGGAAAAGTTGTCTGTCTGTCGGTCGCTGCGCTCACGCTTCCTGTCTCACCTTGCGGTGAAAGTTATCAGTGTCAGAAGCGTGTCCAACCGGAGTTTTCCTCACGAGTTTTCACGAAGAATGGTGTTTCCCTGAACTTTCCTGAAGCATGATGAACATCAGAGTGTTGTCAGTTTGTTTGCTGTGAGAGCGGACTTCTAGACGAAGTCCGGGGAACACCTGGGCCGTGTAGCAGAGTTGCCAGTGCAGAGAAGCCGTTAGGAGTCCTTAGGACTTACCTCGGAAGTGAGTGTGCTGAAGTCTCTGTCCGCGCCCCGTTTCACTTGGCTCAAGCCTTGCACTGCGTGACAAGCGCGTGGTGAACAGTTGGTTGCGACGAAAGGTGTAAAAGTGCTGTTAGCTTTCACTGCTGTAGCCTTGCGTGACGTAGTCAGTCAGTCGGCTTGCACCTCCTTTTACTAAACCTAGAAGTGTGCCTCAAGGCGCGTTTGGGTTTTAACGCTCTGCAAAGGGAGGAAAGCACGCGCGGCGGTAACATCCACCTGGGCTGGCAGGGCCGGACTAGTGCGCAGGAGCAAGTCTGAAAAGCTTTTCCGGTACATTGATCAACCAATGCATACCTCCTACACGTATACCTCGGGCGGCCCGTGGGACGGTCCGCGCAAACTCGATAGGCACCCAAGGGCACAAAAAGTTTTTGCTGGCATGGATGATGCGCAACCGACACGAAAGGCTCAGAAGTTCCGCGAAGAGTTAATCTGGCATGCAACGGCTCCAATCTCCTGGCTGCGAGGCGACGGGCAGACCTACTGGTTAGAAGTGGTTGTCGCCCCATAATTTGCGAAGAAGCACTCCCAGCAAGACCTGCTGTGTAGCTGCTGCCGAAAAGCCATGGCAGGCCGCGCTGCTTGAGAAGACAATTCACAGGACTGCCAGACACGCAGAGTGAGAATCCTGCAAGTAAGAGCTGTGGCGTGCTCGCTGAAGCTGCACGTCAATGGTTCGAGCCTCCAGACTGGTGAGAACCGCACCATTGCATGTGCTACCTGGATGACCGGCAGAGAGAAAGCAGAAGGCTGGTATATCGGCTCGTCGCATTGAGCCGCGCTAAAGCCGTCGCCGACAGCTTGGAGCATGTCTCCGGAACTTGCCTGAAACCCAAAAAACTGGAAAACTGAGGCCACTTGGCAGCAGCAACCTTGTCGTCAATCGTAGATTTTGGCCGAGAGTATTTGGCAGGTTAAACATCGCGAAGTTCGTATCGCAACCAACCATGGAGGGCAGTATATAGCGAGCACCGGCCCGTTTCCGCCATTCATGGAGGATGGCCCGCTGTACCGTCTGTGTAGAGGGATCATCGGTGGCCGCGACGTTGCTTGTAAGTTTTTAGATCAGAGCTCAAGTTCCGCTGCCACTCGGTGGGAAAAACGCAGAAGCACCCACGCTTTAAAGCGTTGAAGGAACAGCGTGGCCCACTTGTGATTCTCAGCAGCAGCCAATCCTGGATGCTGCCACCTTTGCCCAGCTTCCTACACATAGGTCTTACAAGGGCAACATTTGTGGCACACGGGGCCAAAATCCATCTTCTCTCACAAGTGATCTGTACATGCAGCATTCAAGCGCCCGCATTGCTCTAACTCGTTGGAGGTGAAGCAGCAAACGTAGACGAGCAATGGGCAGCCTACCAAATAGCAAGTAGAGTCTTCCCGCCAGTTCCGGCCGCTTACGCATCTCCCCTGCAATATTGCAGTGCCTTACTCCCTATCCAGATGCTGCTGCTTGTGGTGCGCCTTGTTGATCAACCACAGGACTATCCGCACTTGGAGCTGATTGGCGCCTTCTGAGCAAGGCGCAGAGGAAGGTTGTCAGAGTCAGATCGGAGTCCGGCTAGCCACCTTTTCAGTGGAAGATCCTCCACCCTCCTTCCCCGCAGTCGCGCTCCAGGTCATCGAGGAGAACTTCGTCGTGGAGAGGAGGCCGTGTGAGGTTTACTTCGGGCTGCTCCGATGCCGAGTGGTGGAATCGCTTCGAGCGTAGAGAAGCAGTGTTTTCCGTTGAAAAGTGGTGGTATGAAATCTCTGATCAACGTGTCTTTGTGATTATTCATCTGTTCAGAGGGAACGTCGTGCCGAAGATGTTCAGTGGTATGTGGAGAAGTATGCAGAGGAAGCGGGGGTCCGAGTGCTAATGGCCACAATTGACCTCACAACAGACCACCGGTGGGACCTGGCTTGTGAAGATACTCAGCATGAGCTCATGGGCATGATGTTTCGTGGATCTTCTGCTCCTGGACTCCCCGTGTTCCATGACTCTTTCTGGGGCAGACTTGACCTGAGGCCTCACGAGCGCGCTGAGTAGAGAAAGCCAACGTCTTGTACAAGCACAGCATGGCGCTGTGTGATCGCATCTCTCTTTATGGAGGTGGCTTTCTTTGGGAGCATCCGAAAGATCCAGGTGAGCATCCATTTCCTTCGATTTTCGCCACGATTGAGTTCAGTGAACTTCTGAGTCGCACGGAGGCATCCACGGTTTCTTTTGATCAATGCGTGCTGGGAGGCCCCACTCAGAAGCCGACCACTTTGGCCGGGAATTGCGAAGACTTGGAAAGGTTTGCTCACTGTCTTTGCTCCGGTCTTAGTGCACAGCATGTTCATGCGAATTCTTTGGGATTCGATGCAGAAGGTCATTTTCTCACCCGGCGGCTCCAGACCTATCCGCCAGGCATGTGCTCGCTCATCGCCAGGGGGCTGATCTCTTCGTGTGTCACCTGGCAGGCTTCGGGCGAGGGGCCGACGGGCATCTTCGCACAGGGGCCTACGGCACCGCTGATTCCAAGGTCATTGGAGGCCTCATCCACATCACGAGGGGTCCAGATCTTGAATGAGGCGGTTGAGGATCACAAGAGGGTGCCTTTGGGTGATGATCATGTGGGTTTGTACCTGCATGTTGATGATACGTTGCTTCTTGGAGTCGGGGACTGTGCAGGGTTGGCAGCGCCTTTGATGGAGGAGATCGCCGATAACATGGAGGCCGCAGGTTTCAAGGCTCCAGACAGGAGGTCGTGCGATGAGGTCACAAAAGTAGTGGGCTACGAGATTGATGTGCGGCAGGGGGCTTTCTCTTTGCCGAGGAGGAAGGCACGTTTGTTGCAGGCGGCGCTCTTTGAACAGGCTAGTTCTCGTCTCGTTTGTGTCGATCTGCTCAGGGCTCTGGTTGGGATTTGGAGTTTCGGCGCGCAGCTGAGACGCGAGCTTTATCGATACCTTTCACCGTCTATCACATGATGGACGTCTGTGAGGGTCAGCTTGTTCACCCCTGGCCTTCGGTGAGGCGAGAGCTGACTGTCATGGCCAGGGCGGTGGACTTCATGACGCTACATGCGTCCCACCCAGTGAGCAGTTCCGTGTATGCCACAGATGCCATGGGTGCTGATGATGTGGATTGTGGCGGTTTCGGAGTTTGTGTGACCCAGACCCAGGCGACACGTGATGAGTTTCGTGCACTGATGTGGGCTGGTGAAGAGCCGGGCTTTGCTATCACAGAAGCTGACTGAGGCTTTAGAGGCTTGCGCAAACCCGGTGAAATCATCAAGCTTACTCGGCCTTTCTCGCGATTGCCTCAGTCGCTTTTTGAAGAAAGGAGATGGTCCGAACTACAGGCGGGACGCTGGCACACTGCTGATCATATCACCATTGGTGAAGCTAGGGCGGTCACTAAGTGTCTCGAGCTTGTATGTCGCGACCCGGCTGCGCACAACCGAGTCTGCTGCGCTTTGCAAGACAACCGACCGTGTGCGAGCGCGATGACTAAAGGGAGGTCCTCTTCTTGGGGGCTGAATTTTTACTTGCGGAGGAGAGCTGCCTATGGTGTTGCATGTGGCATTCGATTCATCTTTTCATGGTGCCAGTCTGCCTTGATGCCGGCCGATCGGGCCTCCAGGCGCCGGTAGGTGTAGCTGCCACGACAGGGCCCGGGGGAGGGCTCGGGCATGCACCATTTCCGGCTCGACCCGCTACATGTGAACACCGTTGAAGTCAGCAACTTCGAGCGCTACCGGAGTGCGGTTGAGAAGTTCCAGAATTTCTTGCTTCTTTTCGACGCGGCTCCTTCTTCAGCTGCAGAACTAGACGAGTGGCTCGTGCTGTTTCGTCGCGAGGCTTCTTTGACGCGGTCGAAGCTCGAGGTCACTCTGGCAGGAATGCAGTTCTTTGCCCCCAGCCTTAAAGGGAAGCTTCCCCTCACGAAGAAGGTGATCAAAGGTCTGACCGTGGAGTTCCCTGCTGAACATGCTTTTCCTATGCTGTCACGCTCTGCTAAATTTATTGCTTGCAAGATGGCGGGTGAGGGAGAGCATCGTCTGGCAGTTTGTATGCTCCTGCAACAGGCTACAGGACTTAGGCCATCGGAAATGCTGGGGCTACGAGAACACGATATACTACGGCCCAACGATCTGGTGCCTCGCTATGTGCTGCGTTTGGGCACCCGAGTGGGAACCAAGGTGGGCCGAGAGCAGACCACGTTCTTTGATCCGGATCAGGACCCAGTGCTTGCAATGCTGCTCTTCAGGCTGTTACGCGCCCCTCCTGAGCAGGGTTTTTTGGCAGATTGCGGATATGATCACTATCGGAGGGTGCTTGCCAGACTCAGCGCCACCTTGGGGGTTCACTATTCTCCTCACTCGTGCAGGGCTGGCTTCGCGACCGAAGCCATCATTCGTGGTGACTCCCCGTCAGTTGTGCAGAGGCGTGGTCGTTGGTACAGTGAGGCAAGCTTTCTTGTGTACATCGATGTGGCAACCGCCTTGCAAGTGGAGGCTGAATTTCGGAGTCGAGCCTTGGACTCGGCGATTTCGGACGCTGTACGAAAGCTTATCGCTCACTTTCCCAAGGATTGTTTCTCAGGTGATACGAATAGGCCTGCCAGTCACCGTAGCGATCGACGACGCATCAGCGGACGAGGATTTGCCAGAGGAGCCGCCGAGCCCACTCAAGCCAGGTGCGGCGAGCTCGAGCTATGACGCCACCGCCCAAACCTCGACAGGCTCGCCCACGCGCACGGCGAGGCCAGGTGGACGGGACCGCCGTCATGTCTCCTGCTCTTCGCGCTCATCTTTTGGAACTGTCTGGCCCTTCCGCTGCTGCCGCCGACGGTCGGCGTGAGCCGCAGAGACGAGTGGTGCAGCGTCGCCGGACCGCCACTTGTTTCAGCCTGTTTTGCAAGGGCTGCTATCGCTGGCTGCTACGGTTGCGCGCCATGCTGCTGTGGAGCAGCCTGGCTTATGTGTTGGCGTCCGGGCCGGTTCGCGAACTATTGGGTCCCGTGCAGCGCTTCATGACATCCACGGCCCAAGTGGGAGAGAGTGCGGCTGGTACACTCTCGTCTATCCTGGATGGTGGCACTCAGCTGGTCACGGCGTCCACTGACGTGGTTAGGGCTGCGTCGGTCAATACCTTGGGTGTGGCGCAGGCTGCTTGGGTCGGTGTGGACCTCGTGGGGATGAATGCCACCAAGGTGATCGGGCGAGTGCTTGGCGAGAGTGCGGAGGTCATCGAGCAATGGTTGGTTTCCGATCAGGGCCGTGAGGTTCTACGTGACCCAGCTTCGGATGCTCTTCAGTTCTGGATGGGTTTGCTTCAATCGCAAACTCTTCAGCTGCCCTTCGTTACAGCTGAGGCCGAAGCGCTGGTGGCCACCGGCGTTTATTGGACGGCCTCAGGCTTAGTGTCATTCGCCGCCAATGGCCTCGTTGTCTGTGAATTTCGCTGGTTACGCGTGAGCTTCACTCCTCGCTGGGCCAATCCTGTGTGGCAGATTGCCGGCTGGAGTGCAGCGGATGAGTCCGAGCAGATCCTCAGCATTGCTCGCGACTTCGCTGCTACAGTGCCTGCTGCCAACAGCACCTGGGATCATGTGTTGCCCGCCCAACCCGCCGCTGCTCGCTGGCATGCTCTCCTCGGCCTGTGTCGCCGGCTCGCCGCTACGCTGCTCTGGCCCCATGTGGGAGTATGGGACCATGCATCCGCTGGCATTTGGTGGTGTGCTACTTGCGACGGCCGGTGTGTTCAAATGGCTGCTCGGCTACTGTTCAAGTGTCGGCCTCCCGACAGGACGGCTGGCCGATTGGGCGCGCTTTGTTGAACACAAGCTGCTGCTGGACGGTTGGTCTTTAGTTCCCAAGGCTCTGCGAGCAGAGCCGCGCCGGACATGAGACCTGCGGGGATACGGGTTCTTGCGACAGCTCTCTGCAGCCCAGCATAGGTTCCATTTTGGAACACCCAGGGCTGCCTTGAGGAGCTGCGGCCATCTGGTCAAAAGTGATTTGGATGGCGTATTATATGCCAAATGTTCCAGGCGGGATCGCCTAACTGGATTTCCATTGCTGGCTCCTGGCAAAACAGCGTATTGCATGGTCTGTTCGAGTGAGACGCACTGCACTTCTGGACATGTGAGCATTATTGTTGAGTGAGCTGAGCGCACGGAGTTTAATGTGCAGTCCTCAAAATAGTAGCATGTTTTTCACTTGCAGCCTGAAGAAGTTTTGTCGTAGACCGGGAGGGTAAACTGTGTTTTGTTGCTTGCCTGCTTTTCTGAAGTGCGGCGGCCAAGTTTTCTCACGAGGCCCGCCCGCCCTCCCGGGTTCTTGCGACAGCTCTCTGCAGCCCAGCACAGGTTCCATTTTGGAACACCCAGGGCTGCCTTGAGGAGCTGCGGCCATCTGGTCAAAAGTGATTTGGATGGCGTATTATATGCCAAATGTTCCAGGCGGGATCGCCTAACTGGATTTCCATTGCTGGCTCCTGGCAAAACAGCGTATTGCATGGTCTGTTCGAGTGAGACGCACTGCACTTCTGGACATGTGAGCATTATTGTTGAGTGAGCTGAGCGCACGGAGTTTAATGTGCAGTCCTCAAAATAGTAGCATGTTTTTCACTTGCAGCCTGAAGAAGTTTTGTCGTAGACCGGGAGGGTAAACTGTGTTTTGTTGCTTGCCTGCTTTTCTGAAGTGCGGCGGCCAAGTTTTCTCACGAGGCCCGCCCGCCCTCCCGGGTTCTTGCGACAGCTCTCTGCAGCCCAGCACAGGTTCCATTTTGGAACACCCAGGGCTGCCTTGAGGAGCTGCGGCCATCTGGTCAAAAGTGATTTGGATGGCGTATTATATGCCAAATGTTCCAGGCGGGATCGCCTAACTGGATTTCCATTGCTGGCTCCTGGCAAAACAGCGTATTGCATGGTCTGTTCGAGTGAGGCGCACTGCACTTCTGCAAGCACGCATTGGGCTGGGACGCCGCTGCTACTCCTCATGCTTTTGTGGACATGTGAGCATTATACGAATGCACCACAGCGGATCCGACACCAAACGGCATGAGAGATGGCAAGAAACCACAAAGGCCGCCATCACATGGTCGCACGCCTACGACAGCTTTCCGCATCATTCGAAAGCTTCTCAAAGTGGGAACTTGGTTTCGTCGAGACTCGCATTGCTCTGTGGACAGAAAATCCAAGAAGAGACGACACTTCATGGTTGAAGTCGTGCCAAACGTCATAGCTGCGTATTGCTTGAGCAGTGACCCAACTGCGGTGGAAGTCGAAAGCTGCTCAGAATTTCTTGTTTGGCAGGTAATTGGGAATTTCAGCAGAGAGTGCTTCCTGGACACTCACACGCAGAATTTTTTGCTTAGAGCCGTTGTTTATGGCTGTATCTCGCCCACGGGAGATTTACCTGGCGCGCTGCAGGTCGCAGCTAGGTGATATCAGCAGGTGCAGCATGGTATTTTGCCGGGACAGGTCATGGCTGCTCACAAGTCAAAATGTGATTGAAGGTGGACGGCAGTGTGTTATGCATTAGATCGCAGGCAGCATGTTGACGGCAAGGGCTCAGAACGTTTTGCGGTGGAGAACAATTCCGTCAGTGGATCACGTTCTGCAAAACACTGCAGAATCGAAGTTAGAACCTCGACATGCTCTGGAGCTGAGACACAACTCGTTGTTTGGATGGAGTATAGGATACTTTGTGGGAGTGTAGATTGTGCAAACTTGCAAGTCCACGGCCTTTGTCTCTGTGCGATTCTAGCTATTGCTGTGTTTCTGCAAGAGTTTCAGCGCTTGGAGCAAGGAAAACAGTGCTTTGTCTCACCGGATTGTAAATCTTTTGGTGAATATTGCGGTTAGTATGTGCGAGAACGCCACTTCGGTCACCCTTGGCCTGCCATGTGGCTCGCCTTCCCTGCTTCGGACAGTGCCTTTTCTCACCGGGTTGCAAGGTTGCAGTTGTAAGCGCGTGAACGCTGCCTGCTTTTCGGCCCTGGGTTTGGGCTTTGCTCTGCGTTGCTTGGTTGTTGCCGCTTAGCATGGTCGCGACTCCTTCGGTGTATGTTGCGGTTAGTAAAGCGTGAACGCCGCTTCTGCCACCTTTGGCCTGCCATGTGCCTCGTTTTCCCTGCTTCGGGCGGTGCCCTTTCTCACCGGGTTGCAAGGTTGCAGTTAGTAAGAGCGTTGGTGTGCACGACAACGCACAAACGAAGTTTGCGGGGTCGCTCGTTGTCCGACGGACTAGAACGACGCCGGGACCTTTGCTTTGGGGAACCCACCGCTTCTTCGGGTAGTTGCGGGACGACGGTTCTCTTCTACCTCTGTTTGTCGCTGAGTAATTTGTTGCCTTCCTTGTGCAGTTTGGAGGGTTAGCTCGCTGAGAGGCTTGTGCAGTACTGCCGGTGCCGAACAGGGTAGATGACGTAGTTTTCGAGCCTGCGGTTTTTGCCGGCCTTTGTTTAGTTAGCTCTTTGAAGCTTTCACCCTTGTATAGTTTTCTGTTCCTGCTTTCTTGCTTCTTATAGGGACCGAGCGCAGCAGCCGCTGTCACCGAGGCCCGACCACGCCCAAAAAAAATTCCAGGCCTCAAGTGCGACCGCTGGTGGCGATTTCTCGAAGCTGTGGTTCACTTTCTTCGATGCCTTTCCTGGAATTGAGCCGAGCATCACTTCGAAGTGTGCCCGTTCCACCAGACATGGCGAATGCGCCAGAAACTGGCACACCGAGTTGCAGCGCCTTCGGCAAACACAAGAGCCTCAACAAACTTTCTATGGGAATCCGAGGCGGATTTCAGAAGTAAGTCCAAATCGGCGCCACTTCCAAACGGACTGGTTTCAAGGGAGAGGTTGTGGGAAGTGTGCATGTTTCCGGTTGGCAAACAAGAAGGTTGCAGTTGCAATTTCAACATTTTGACAGTTGAGATTTTATTGCATTCCCGAAAGCATCGCGAAGGGTTCTTGCGTGCAGACATGTACATAGATGACAGACTTACAGACATAGACTTTGTGACTTCACACTTGACTCTGCGAATCTATGAACTCCATGACTCTATAACAGAGCTCACGCGAGTGAAGATCTCTATGACTATATGTGACTTCCCTTGTCATTTCCTTACTTGCTAACTTACTTGACTTTATACCTTACTTGACGTTTGAGTCATAGAGTCCCTTTCTGACTTTCTTAATTACTTATTACTTACTTACTTGACTCTAAACCTGACTTGAGTCTATGACTCTATGACTCTATGTCTCTATGAACTTGACTCTATAACTCTATGACTCCATGACGGAACCCGTGTTTTTTTTTTTTGCTGTCGTTGCCTTTATGTTTTTTGTTCTCGTTGCGCGGACCCAGGAAGCCGTTGAGTGAGTGAACCCCGGTGCCCGCACCGACAGCAAAAAAAAAAAGCGCCGCACCGACAGCCAAAAAAAAAACGCGCCCCGCAGGGACGACAGCAAAAAAAAAAAACGCGCCCCCCGCCCCGCACCGACAGCAAAAAAGAACGCGCCCCCGCACCGACAGCAAAAAAAAAACGCGCCCCCGCAACGACAGCAAAAAAAAAAACGCGCCCCCGCAACGACAGCAAAAAAACAAACGCGCCCCCGCAACGACAGCAAAAAAGAAATCGCGCCCCCGGGGACGACCGCCCCCGCAAACAACAGTATCGGGAACGACACAATATCTGGGTGTTTAAGTTGCTCATTTAAGGTTTCTATCAAGTGGTAGTAGTAGTAGTAGTAGTAGTAGTAGTAGTAGTAGTAGTAGTAGTAGTAGTAGTAGTAGTAGTACTAGTAGTACTAGTAGTACTAGTAGTACTAGTAGTACTAGTAGTACTAGTAGTACTATAGTACTAGTAGTAGGGAGGGCGGCTGTTTTAAGCCGTCTGCAAGCTTGCGTGATCTTGCGTGACAGCATAGAGGTCGTTTCGGGGAGCCCACCCTGCATAAATGATATGTGCGTTTTGGAAACAACGCCATTCACCCGGCGAAAAACTTGTTTGCAAATGGGAAGCCTGTCCCGCACGTGCGAGAGTGCCAAGCTTGCTTGACAGCATATATATATATATATATATATATATATATATATATATGCGTTGTATTTAAAACCAACCATGCGAGCATCCTGACTCCCCCCCGCCGCCCCTATGATTTTGTTGTAAACCAGCCATGCGAGCATCGTGATTGCGAATGGGGGGGGCTGCCCCCCCCCAACCCCCCCGCTGTTTTCAGCCGTGTGCAAGGTTACATGACGGCGTAGAAGTCGTTCTTGAAACCCGCGATGCCTGCGATGAGTCGTTTAGAGACAAAACACCATTCACCTTGTGACAAGGGTGCTTGCAATTGGGAACCTGCGCCGGGCATGCACGTGCGAAGCAAGAAACCCCGGCACGCGCAACAACACAACGGCGAAACAAAAACAGTAGTTTTGCTTCGCATCGCTGTAAGGTCGGAGCTTACGATACTCAACTGTCACCTGCTATGCAGTCAGTCGACGCGCCATGCAGGAGCCAAACAAGTAGTAGTAGTAGTAATAGTAGTAGTAGTAGTAGTAGTTGTTGTTGTCGTAGCAGTAGTAGCAGCAGTAGTAGTAGTGGTAGTAGTGCTGGTAGTAGTAGTAGTAGTAGTCGTCGTCGTAGTAGTAGTAGTAGTAGTTGTTGTAGTAGTAGTGTTATTATAGTAGTAGTAATATATATGATGATAACAAACAAGCGCCCGGGGAGCACAACGACAGCGAAAAAAAACCGCGCCCCGCAGGCACGACAGCCAAAAAAACGCGCCCCGCAGGGACGACAGCAAAAAAAAAACGCGCCCCGCAGGGACGACAGCAAA